AATCAATGGCAGCTCACCTTCTCTTTTGGAGTATGCATGGTACTGATTTGGTCATACTTTTTAGGGACAATTATCTAAAGTTGCTGTGGATGATGGAAACTACCAGGAGACTTGGCAACTACTTTATCCTCTCAGTTCTAGGTTTTCCTTTACCAGAAAACCACTGAGAAATTGAAGAGAAAATGGAGAGCATTTGGAGAATAGGAATGGTAGCCAGAAAACGGGAGGCTTGAAGAGCTTAAAGGAATCAAATATGACATAGCATAAGCTATGAAGAGGGTGCCACAGTGGCACCTGAATTATTTATGATCTATGAGATTGGAAAGTTAGGCCAATGTTGGAAGGAAGTAAAATTATTTGAAGTTCGTTGGTGTTGTATAGCATTTGGAAGAACCATTGTTTGTGGTATTTTGAACTAGATATAGGCATTAAGAAGAATTAATTATTTGGCAGAAAGATGGTCTAAACAGATTACTTCTATCAGGATCTGATTAAAGCATACATCATTGATTGACTGATGACTGCATTGCAGGGATCTGCCTTTTCCAGGCAATGTGGCTCTAGGGAAGTTGCTAAAGTATTTTTTTTACCTTGAACCACAGCAAAACTAGGTATCTGCTTTTGCCTGGGGGAATATTTTGGTTATTGTCTAATGCACCATTTAGGTATTATATGCAGGTGGGGTCAAAACCTTGGCTCTTCTTGCACCATTTTCATTTTTATTGTTCTGCCTGAATGTGTATGCCAGTTTTCAGGCATACTTTTAGCTTTATTTCTTTCTGTGTGCATCCGTACTGTACAAAGGTCTCCACTTCCTTCCCATTTCAGATGGCTTTTTAGCAAGTCTGCAGTGAAATCACTATTAGAGCACTCCTGTCAGTAGCTTCAGTTCTGTGCTAAAATATAAGTTTATGGCATTAGACTGCTGGGCCTGAAATACTTATGTATTTTGTGACCTTCTACTGCTACCTTAGCTTGCTTAACCTATGCTGTTCACCTTTAAAACCAGCTTCTTTCTAGGAGGCAAGTTCATAACAGGGCTACTCTGTCAGATTTTGGAAGTTTGATTGTTCAGTTAATTTCTGTGTAGAATAATTATAGTCTCTCACATTTAATCAATTCAAATAATGCATTGTATTATTGCTGCAAAAATAGTCTTTAATTAACAAGTTTAAAAAAGTTGTGTATTGTACAAGCTTCTTAGCTGTGATTCAGGTAATATCACCCGGGAGTTTTCAGTCCAATGCGACTAATTCTTATATGGCTGCTAATTTTTAAAACTGCAGGTTCATTTTCATAAATAATACCTACCATTTAGCAAAATTCTGCAGACATGAAACAAATAAGATTGCATATTTTATTTGGGTATGTACATTTTATATATAAAACTAGTGTTCATCTATTTTCTTGTTCTTTTCTCCTGTCTCTCGTTTTTTAAAATAAGTTTTCCATTTCAGAAAATCCTTGAAAATTTTTAATGAAAAAAAGGGTTTGGAAACAGATAGCGGAAAGAAACATGCCCTCCATTAGCATACTGAAAATGGCTTAGCATGTCATTTTTTTTTCTAACAGCATTATAATTTTCTAGAATGTAATGGAAGTTAAAGCTATATAGTTGTTTAAAATAGATGATCTCCCCTTTTCCACCCACACACATACTTACTTTTTTGCAGGGAGTAAGAATCCCGGACTAGTCAGGAAGTAAGTACTGTCACCATCAGTGGCTTCAGACAGGTGATTGATGTGCATGGTGCTGACCATTCTGGCTTTGTACTAGCAAAAACATTTAGGCTCATGCTTAACCTTAACCATGCTAGAGATCCTGCTAAAGTGAAACAATTATTAGCATATTTAATACTCTTCTGGCTCATCTTCTGAGTCCTCAGCACTCTTTATGGTCAAATTTCATGTATTTGATATATTCTTGCAGAACAGGAGTGACCATTAATGCTAACTAACAGTGAACTGTAAAACTTAAGACAAATTTCCGTTTTGTGTGGCTGGGAGGGAGAACGAATATCTTGGTATAAACTGGTGAAGCTGATGTAGTTGCATTGGCATAAGTTCAGAATTTGGCATGGGGCGGAGATGCGAGTAAAGCTGTATTGTACTTCTGTGGTTTTGATTCACAGAGGTTTGTGCGAACTTAGGTAGCTGGTGCACACATGGGACATCATCAAAGAGCCCAACCAGAAAGTCAGAGCTTGGATTTGGAGTGCCATACGGCTATACATTTAGAAGCATGTTGTTATAGTGAGGCAAGCAAAGCATCCTTTCATTAAAACAGGTAACTACAGTTTATTTTCAAAGATTATTTTTATATATTACAATCTGCAATGTAGTAACTATAAATGCTTTTTAGACATTTGATATTTTCATTATTCTTGAATGTTTATACTGCTTGCAAAGGACTGGAAGGGTCCTCCTGTAAGTTGCTGAGTTCAGGCTACTGCTACTATCGGCATCATACAATTTTCTTTTATATGCTATCCTTTTTTGTTACTGTGGATTTGGAAGGCTGTTCTAGACCCTCACTTAGCCAACACCAAAATACTTCTAAAAAATAACTTGAAAAAATATTTTCAGCCTAAATTTATTCATAACTAATTTTTCCTTGATTTTTAGTCTGTCAGGATTGTCCATAGCTTAAACAGTCTCTTCCTCCTACTGTTTTCTTCCCTGTTCACAGACTGTTTTGTTAGGATAAACAAATCAAACTTTCTTACATTCCTGTGACAACATAGTTGCTCCATTTCCCTGAAGAACACAAAAAGGACTTTGTCTACAGCTGTTGTAGTTGAATTTGACCTTGTTTTTAATGTGGACGAAGAGAACTGTATGCTATTGGAAGTACCTCTAAGAAATTAAGAAATTAATTGAGAAATAAAATTAATTAGGAAATACTGATAATTTGCCTTTTCATATTTGCATCACACCAGCAGCTCAAAGTCCTTAAACAGAGGCAATGAGGTCCTGCTTTTCTTTCTCCTGAGTTTAGAACTGAAGTTTCTGTTATTAGCAGAAGCATGACCTTATGTTTTGTATTACTGAATTTCATCCTGTTTCTATTAATGCAGTCCATAAAGTTGAGCAATTCTTTCTATATAATATTCTTATCCTTCTCAGTCTTGACAGTACATTCCAACTTTATGTCATCAGGAAATTTCATCAGCCTTTGCCAAAATAATTAATGAAAATGTTAAGCAAAAACTGTCCCAAAACAGATCATGGAAAAGCTTCCCTCGAGCCTGTGCTTCCCTGTACAAATCATCTTTCTCTTTAGGTTTTTCTAACATCTTATCAAATACAAACATGCTGAAACAAAAAAATGACTAGGTATTTTACAGAGCAATTTACCAATCCTTATTTATGTCAGTTGTCCCACTGGAGTCATTTAACTAAAACTTGCAGAATCCATTTTATAATCTCCATTCCTAGGTGAAAGAAATCTTCTTTCTCTTTAAATGCAGCTCACTGTGTTAGACCAAACAAATAGGTAATAGTTAAAATGAACATTTTTTTTTTTTTTTTTTTTAGAAATGAAATACTTTTAAATGAGTTGTAATGGCAACTCGCTTTCTCGTATATACCTTTTGTTTATATATTTCTGTATGAAAGTTAATAACTGGTTTTGTATTGGAATTTATGAAAATCTTTTGGCAAAACCCACGATGTGTCAGCCTACTGTGTGCTTAATAATTAAACTGCAGGGTTCTGTTCCTTAATAAGAAAAGAGCCAGAAATATGATTAATAGCTAAGCATAGTCAGATAACCAGTGTGAACAGCATTATCCCCAACGGAAAAGTGAAGCGATTCTATAACAGGAGATGGAACTAGGTAAACATCACTTCATCATGTGACAATTGCTGTCCTCATTGGCGGTCTCTCAAAAGAGCCATCATAGAGGGTCACAATTCAACACGTAAAGTTAGAAAAGGTATAAGGCTGATAGTAACGAGGGCCAACGTGCAGCTGCTAAGGTAGATTTCTAAATCATGCAACACGGCTGCCTTGATACATGAGAATCAATTACTGAAAACCTTTCACGATGGTCAGAATGTGACATTAAATAATTGAGTATCACATCAAATCTTGTCTGCAATTAGTTATCTGGAAAAGTAATTATGCAACATAATCAAGTAGCTGAAATTAGTGATGTGAAGCACCCTGGTTATTCAAGGACTGTAGGAGAGGATTATTTCTTTTTTGACTTGTAACATGAAGTTTTAAGCACCTAACTAATTCTTTATTGAATTAAAAAAATCTTGCTCAATTGTAATTCTTGTCATTAGTCATATCTGCAATAGAGGATACATTGCACATGAAACAGGTGTTAATGACTAAGTATGTTTTGTCTAAAGTAAAAATGGTTATCTGTGGAAGAGAATGTCTTGCAAGTAGTACATTAAAAAGCAAATCTTTTTTTTTTGGGGGGGGGAAACAGCCTAAATTTTGCTCTTTTATCTCTTACACTAAGAGTGTAAGTTTAATTGGAGAACAGATATGAAATACTCTAAAGGTCAAATTCATTCTTTTTAAAAAAGCTATGATAAATGTAACAACATAGATGTTGTGAAAGGTTAGAAAAGCCACTAAAATATAGTTTACGCTAATAGAAGTAGTTAGCTTGCATTAGTTAGCTCAAATATTCAAAATAAGTAAAAAAAAAAAAAGAATCAAAGCAGAATATGTATCCAATGTAACAGACTTAAGTTTAAACTCTCACATGAATATTGTTTAACAGCTTATAAATACAGGGAAACATTTATTTATGCAATCATGATAAACCTGATTATTTTTAAATGGCTTCTAATAGTAACTGTTGTCATGTATATGCCAGAACTGATAGGAAAATTAATTCTAATGGGTAGATCTGTACAGAGTTTGATCTGTATGTGTATAGTACTTAAAAATCTGAACTGATAAAGAGTAGTTGGTTAGTCATGTTACTTAAGCTGGTCCCAAAATAGCACCTTCCTTTTTTGATAGAGTTAGGTTTGCAGCTGTTGTCTCTATCTGTTGTCTCTGAAGAAAACTTTAACATTAAGAGTTGCTGACGTCAATTTTTTTCTTTTTTTTACAGCTGATGTGGGCTTTGCCCCTGACAGAAGTTATTTGGTTCTAGCTCTGAGTTTGGAAGAAGTTGGTATATAGATTTTCCCCTAACTTTCAATTGATGTGTTTAGCTTTAGTGGGAGTAATACTATCACTTAAACCATGTTGTCGTCTCAAGGAGTTTTGCTACATCCATATGGAGTGCCAATGATTCTGCCGGCAGCACCATACTTCGCTGGACTTGTTCAGGTAATGCAAGGCCGCTTCCAACAAGCAACTTAACTCTAGTGCACTTAGAGTAATAATTGGAATTTTTATGGTTGAGAAAGCAAACACTTTTAATACAGGCAAAAGCTCTCATGTAGTCAAGTAAGAAGACAGTCGGAAATCAAAAAGATGGATCACCCTAATCTGTGTATTGACATCTCTCATGGCTGAATAAATGATGTAGTTGAGCTATATTTGCTTGTATTGATTTGTCTGCTGTTTAACATTCATGCCTTTGCTTCACGAGGTTGACCACAGGGCAGAGGATTTGCTATCCATTCTAGGTTTCTGAGGGAGTCAGCATTCCCACGGCAGGTCATAAGACAAAGTAACTTACCATGATGTGTTTAGGTTAAGTGTTTTAGCGCAGCAAATATGGATAGTGTTAAATATGCATTAATTCATGTTATGCATCACACTGAATGAAAAAGGGCTTGTGTTTTTGTGTGTATAGAAATATATCACCTTCACAGAATATTTATGCACATCATATGAATTCTTTTGAGCCCTGAAAGCGTAAGCTCTTGCTTCAGGGCGAGAGTTCTGTATTTTAGAAGTTAACTGGCAATTACTAGATTTAGTTGTTGTGTTGTCTGTTTTTGATTTTATTTTTATCAAAAAGTGGTACTACTGAAGTTTCTGCTGTTAGACTTAGGATTATGAATAGATCACACAGACGCTAATTAAGCAAAAAGTATTCTATTGTTTACAGTATTTGAAGACATTAAGAAAGAATTCAAGTAACATTTCCAAGCATTGACAAAATGAAAAAACAGTGTACCCTATAAATGGCAGTAGTTAGATATTATGCATTAACAGGGTCGAGAGACACACGTGTATTACGGCATTTCTGTGTCATGCTAGTGATCAGTCAAATTAACTGTGGAGGACAGGCAAATTTTCATTATGCTCCTTTACTACAACAGTTAGCTGGCATAGAGGGGCAATCACAGCATGAAACGGGTTTTTTTCCATATAGGTCTATTCAGTAATCGAAGACTGTGAGTTGTTGTGTTCTTCACTTTAGGCTTAATATCAGACACATATGTCTAAAATAGAAATATAGCATTGCACAGTGGCCATTATCAGGTATTGAAAAACTGTGTCGTCTGGGACATGCAAGCTGATGCTATTTTTTTTATGCAGTGAAACGCAGTAGCACACTTGAACACATCAAGCAGGCCTTCATATCCATTAGAATTTGGGGGTGAAGGTCGAACGTTAGAGCTCAGTCAGACCCTGTGCCATCCTGTCCAATAACTAATTACAAGCAAATCATGCCTTTCACTCTATGCTGATTGTTGTTGAAATTGCTTTTGAAAGTTCTCATAAGTTCCTGTTATAGATTAAGTGCTGGTGTAGGAAAAATAACTGCACCCAACTGAAATGGGTGAATGTAATCAGGTTTAATGGACTCGAGAGCTTGTTGGGAATTAAATAACTATTGATTTGTTGGAAAGTTGCTGTCATTACAAAATGCCACTCTGGACGCATTATCCAAGCAGATAGATTAGAAGAAAGCACCCTTTGAAAATTCGGGATGCCTTATTTCAAATCTCTTTTCTTTTCTTTCTTTCCTTAGAAAGATATATCCAGGCTTATGCTACTTCATTAGCATAGGTCTAAAATAGTCAAGCAATAAGAATTGTTCTACAAAAAAATAGGTATGTTTACAGGTACAGTTGAAAAATGTTCTTCATATGGATGCTTCTCTAGTCTCTCCTCTTCTTTCCCTCTCTGTAATGTCTCATCTGAAAATTGCATTTTGGAAACAAAACAAATATTTGAGTTACTGTCTTAGTGGGTGAACTAGAACATTAAATGGTTTAACCACTTTCTCACCCCAGGTTTTTATCTGCATTTGCAGTATCTGCAGTCAGCTTATGATAACAGAATGCTTATTGTTTGTCTCTTAGAGTAAACCTAAGTGAAGTATCCAAAATAAATAATGCAAAGGAC